AGGAGATGTAGGACCGGAGAAGTCTGATCCACCGTCTTCCTCTGCGTCAGTCGCTAGGCGTCTGGTGGCGCGCGAGTACGCGAGGCTGAGTCTCCGATCAATCTTTCAACTCGTGCTTATAGGAACTGGAGGGCCAAACAGATTTTTGGATCGCAGATGAGGTACTGGCAAATTCGATACCTTTTGGTATCTACTAGGTGGCAGCGTCGTTGGAAAAAGGCCACTTTTCTTGTAAAATGAAGATTTTGTTCATCGTGGCCTGGACAGAAACTCGAGGTTGTGAAAGAGACTGAAGATTAAATTGGGAAGGACGCCACATCAGGTAAAAGCTGGGATCGAAGAGAAAATTCTGGTTCTCAAATTAACGCCAAACAACCGTGAGTTCCCCCGTAGAGAGCCAGCGCCAATATATGTGACAAATTTTGATTTTCATGAAAGCTATTCCACCTCGACGGCTCCATCAAAAATTTTGCCTCTCGACTGGCGATGGAACCGAGTCGAAGGAAAACAATACCCACCGTGCTCTCAATCGAGAAACCGCGTACAACAGAAATCGCCTCTGTCTTTTCCTGCCCAAAACTAAACTGCTACAGTACTGCTGAGACACCGACCTTGTGCTATTTCTACGCCAAACGCTATCCACCACAAGCGGGCATGGCATTCACTTCAAAAACCGGCCCAGAGTCTTATCCTAATTAGAAAGCCTAACGGCAGTCACCAGTGAAGCGACGAAGCTTTAACAGACATCGTATTTAGAGACTAACCCGCCGTTCAGAGGCCGACGTCATTGTGAAGTGTCCTAGAATATTCCCACCTTCGGCAGCCAACCACAAGTACCTGCACAGTCGAAAGGTGAACGAACCAAATACACTTGGCTCCCAAATGAGGAGCGTCGATCGACAAGCTGACACTTCAGTCGCTCCTTACTCTACCTCGCAGGCTAGTCTATTCTCCTCTCCTCCCATCTAAGAATCCTACGAGTTTTCTAATGCGACAGCTTACGACCTTCACTTCTGAATATGTATTGGCCGCTGATATCTAGTAGAGACCCAATATCCCTTACAAAGGGGAGTTCGTATCTAGTTTTAGCTCACGTCTGTCAGCCGCCGGCAAGATGTGAACGGTTCCGCTCGTCAGCTAGCATCCACAAATCTGCGGAGTTCTATCCACTTTCGTTCACGCGCGACTGAGGCAATAATCAACTTGGGACGCACTCTCAACGGGGAACCACCCGGAAGCAGATGCCAATTCTGTGATAGGATTTGTACTGCGGCTTAGTGGGCGCGTATTCATTGCTAACCATTAGTTAGTGAGTCAGTCAGCCGGCGGAAGGTGCCTGATGTCCTCCCCCCTTCATAGCTGCGAACGTAGAGAATGAAGAGAGCGGTCTAAGCGTGCATGCAGTCAGCATCAGCCTTTGTCCAATCGTATTTACATGCTGGTGAAGCACCTGCAGCTGTGGTCAACCCTCTACAAGTAGTCAAGACGGCCTCGGGGAACTCTTCTCTCGGAAGGTGGCATTCAACTAAAGCCGCCCTCTTGTGTGTCGGAAGGCTCGGAATTCTACGTACTAGTATAGCAGTCCCCACTTACGCCAAACTCCATACAGCTATTTTACCTCATGAGCTAATATAGTTAGCCACTCAGGAGCGAGAAGGCCTGGCGCACATTGGGTCTTTTTCTGTAGGATTGTGCTAGGAAAAAGAGAGTTTCGCTGGTGGGCCTTGAGTGCCTTGGCACGGAAAACAAACGGAGTTGACTCCAGTTATGACTTGGCTCTAAGGAAGCCCATAGCTCAGAAGGTAGGGCGAAAGAGATGATGCGTAGCACATGACCGGATCTATCGTGATTATCCAGGTTAAACAGAGCTAGCCCTATCCCCCCTAGTCTTGACTCTTCACTTCCTCACTCTTCACTTCCTCACTCTTCACTTCCTCACTCTTCACTTCCTCACTCTTCACTTCCTCACTCTTCACTTCCTCACTCTTCACTTCTTTACCTCTTTTAAGTCAACCGTTTTGGAAGGTAGAGAGACAGGAAATGTTATGACCCTTTTGTAAGCTAAATACTTCACATTTCCCGAAGGGAGATTATGATATCTACGACCTTTGCACTCTTTACGTACTAATCGTGAAATCATGTTTAAAGTTCTATTATTCATACTATAACACATAAGTAGCCGATAGAATATTAAATAACTCTCGGCAGAAGTTGATCCCACTCGCAAATATCTGGTCCGACATGTAGTCTACCGTCAAAGATTTTTTATCTTTCCGCATGGTGCTGTCACGGCCTAGCTGACCGCATGTGGGATACCCATGCAAGGCTGGCCACCCCGCACAAGGCTGAGCGCGTAAACACTCTTCTGTCGCGTTCACCGCGCCACTGTTAGTTAGACTCCTTCGTCTCAGAATTCATATCATAATTGCACCCTTAACAGTCATCTTTCCTGTTCTAGGTTGCGCCGTGATAGGTGCTGATCTCGCCATCCTGCGGCTTCTTGCACAGCCCTCCTTGGATCTTTCTTGCGATCCAGAAGGTATCCCTGAATATCGGCGGCACTGAAGACACCAGGGGGAAATTCCTCAGCAAACTTGTCTGCTAATGACTCAAGAAGCTCCGCCCCGATCAAATTATCGCCCGTAATTACCGTCTGTACGAGATCAGCTTCCTTAGACGACCCGCCGGCTTCCAAGCTCCTATGCCCTAGATGTTGTCCATCCAGGTCACAGGTGGGAGAATAGGCCTTTCGCAAGACGTCGCTGAGTTTTGTTGGATACCGGCTGTTATTCCTCAGGCCAGCACTGTAAATACTGAGAAAGAGATCCTTGATTTGCGAGCTCTCTACCAGCTTAAATTCGATCTCCATGTCCACTCTTCCCGCGCGAAGGAGTGCATCATCGAGCCTCTGCCGATAGTTGGTGGTCATGATCAAGATTCGACCGTCAGGGGACGCCACGCCATCAATGGCGTTGAGGAGGCCGGCGATACTAATAGAGCTTACTTTCTGAGATACGTCACTTAAGCTTGGTTCTTCTGACGTACTTCCGTCGCCGACTCTTTTCTCGGAATCATGAGATATGGATCCCTTCTCGCCCCTCTCTCGTGGTTCAGATCGGGAGAGCCCGGCCGAGTCGATGTCCTCTAGGAGTAGTATGCATCGTCGTGGTAGTTTAGAGTTGAGAGTAATCAGCTCGTCCTCAGTGAGGGTGGCTCCACTGAACGATAGGCAGTAAATTGAGAGCCCAAAAACACCTGCTAAAGCGAAGCTCATACTGGATTTACCTGTCCCTGGAGGACCGTGAAACAAATAGCCACGCCGATAAGGAATGCCATGATTTGCGTACCAGTTCTCTGTAACTGGGAGAAGATACTCGTTCATGTCGGCTAAAATCTTTTGTTTTTGTGCTTCATTAAGCACGACTGTTGCTATGGATCGTGACGGTCGGGTGGCGATCCTACTCCAGCTTCGATTCTTTCGTGATTCTGAATAGGGCTCTGGGCGGAAGATACGTGTGTATGATAAGCCTTTAGAGTTCTGCAATTTTCGAACCTCGTTGATTAGCGATTTTAGGGGCTTGTTTGACGGCCAAAGAACGAATATTTTCAACTTTTCTTGCGTCGAGGGAAGCGCATAGCCGGGCTGAACATGTTCCTTCTCTCGAGTAATGCGGAACCAATAGCCGTCGTGGTGAAATAGTCCCGACGAAGATTCCGGGTAGTATTTAGGCGGCCTTCTTGCAGCCCAGGCATTGAAATTGAAGATCGTGGGATCAGAACTGGTTTGCATATCCACATACTGGTCGCCGTCATTGTTATAATCTTTATCTTCTTCATAACCGTAACGTCCTCCCGTGCTGACAGCTCGAATACTTCGAAGATGTTACATCCGTTTACTAGCCTGTAACCAATCCAGAATCTGGTCGAACATCGGATCAAATTCGAGAACAATAACAGTGGAGCCGCAGAGCGTCATCAAAGCTTCAACCGATGGGGCGACTGTCACACGTATTGCAGTCCATAAGAGGAAGAAAAAGACGCCGACCGAGACGTAGAAAGATAGATCAATACCGGCGGTCATATGGAGATATTTGTCTAGCGTCGAGTAGCCAGGGATGACAGCATCGAGAAAGGTTGGTGCTAAGCGTAAGAAGGTCTCTGGAACAGACTGAGTCGAATTTAACGAAGCTGTGGAAGGGAGGACCGGAATTTTGGTCGCCATAGTGCCAGGTAAAAGCTGATCAAACCAATGAATACTCCAATTTGAATGGGAAGAAAGTGAGTTGAGCGAGAACTCAGGCTTTATGTTTGCCTCATGCAAGGCATGGAGCATCAAAATCGAGTCACTTCTTAGGTTCTCAATCTGTCGCTTGGTGAGTGCTAACCGGTGAGGCTGCGGGAATGGAAGTGGCGCTCTGCCGTTTCGTTTCGACATTACTAGCTTCTAGCGCGGTGGGCCTCTCGACCTGGTTAATGAAAAGATGGCTGCATAATACAAGGAATCTGCTGTTTGAGGAGTGCTAACCGGTGAGCCATTATGTACGTAAAGAATAGAAAAGTAAACCTGAGCCTAACCAGAGTACGGTTAGACTATAGGGGGTGAGGTAATCGGGATATCTAGTCGGGAAAAGGTGATTGGAAAGAGCAAGAGGAAGAGCGCGGTAAGGGAAGAAATAGAGCCTCGAGCCCAAGCACAAACGGAGCGGTGGGTTAGCTTCGGATGTTACAGAGGTGAGCATGGTGCCGAATGTTTGGCTTGCCCAAGCCCACGTCGTGCATGATGGCTAGGCTAATGCAGTATCAAGCCAGAGATGTACAGGGACATTGGAAGTTAGATATCCAGCCTTGATACAGCTTCCTCCGGAGTATCAATGGGGAGAGAGATCGGTCGGGAGACAGAAGAGTAAGGAAAAAGACATGGCTGCGGTTGGAATAACAGAATGGAATTCCTAGTTATACTATATCTTTACCCTGCGGAGAAAGGGAGCCCAGCGAGAAAACTAGCCGGCCGGCGGCTGGATATCCAACATGTCCGATTCGGTTTGCTGAGATTGACGACGACATAGGTGGAAAAACGGCGCCATAACTTGGTCAAAGCTCGTAGTTTGGACAATGAAGTACCCAAGTTTCAACTCCGTAGCTAGCTCTTTGGCGTCTTGTTCCGTCACCTCCACTTGTCGGCTAGGATTATACATTCCCACCAGGGTTTGAGGACACTGTCCTCGTCCAGCCTGCTCAATCGCAGACTTGAATTTCCTAATAGCGTCAAAAGTCTTTTTGGAGTTCATGCTGAAGGCGATAATAAATGCCTGGCCGCGGGAACAATAAAAATTGACAATCCCATGGGTATCGTATCCTCCTCTATCCCATAATTCGATCAAAATCTCCGTTTCGTTCTCTCCCGTCCGGATAAGCCTATGCGGCGCGTCCCGGCTAGGAACGTGTACTGGTTTGTCAGGACGTTCAACGGTATCAAACTGGATGCAGAGTGAGCATGCATTTGCCGAAATCACGAGGTCTTACTTGACGGCTCAACGTCTCGGAAACTTCTGGATCTCCCAAGATAACGATAAGTAATTGTCCCGGTTGTTTCGGCGAGGTCATTTTCTTTGTTTCTTTTTGGGTTGGGTACAGTTTGAGCGGTGTAGCTGACGCCAGTAGAATAGGACGAACGAAGTAGGGAAAGAAGCAGCAGCAGACGCAAGGCAACCAGATTGGAAATTCCCGCAATTTATACACAAACTCGACACCCCCAGCACTGATACACGCATAGTCAGTGAATTGTTGAGTAGACTGCTTAATGTCCTGCTTTAATGTGGCTTTCCAACTCGACCATTTATTGGGGAGGCCGGGGGAGAGGGGACGGAGCACGCAGGGATGGCATCCGAAGCCAATGGACATACACCTCTAAAATGAGCCTTCCCTAATCAAGTGCATTAAAAGTGCGCACATTACGAAACGCTTATCCTTGAGGACATAAGAGAGGTTCTGAAATGGCGTCAGGAAGTGCGAAATCCGAGAAATTATTAGCCCAAGCCCCAGGGCAATGAAGCCGGAAGTGCCGGATGAGGCAGATCACCGGTTTACTCACTTGAAAGCTTTAGAAAAGGAAACCCTCTTGGGGTCTGCCTTGCAGCGGATGCCAAAAATCTGCTTGTTTGCTCGTGGTTCGTCGTATGTTCTGTCACGCCAAATATGGCCGCTTCTCAGCAAACCATCTCCATAACACCGAACGAGCTCGCGACGAAATATAAATAGTATGCTCGCATGGATCCAGAGTCAACTCGAAGATCAGAAGTAACTAAGGCTCTTGGTCCAAATATGTGGTGTTCCCGAAGGACCCCTCAAAGATTTCGTGAAAGTTTACGAATGCAGTGGCTCGGATGATGACACCACGGCTCTTCTTGGGAGGTATCGAGATCACTACGAGCGCCTAGTCTATGATTGCGGAAGAGACGATGGCCTGCGAGTGAGACACATTGCAATCCTCTCCTAAGATACATAGACCAGGCCGAGAATCCTGATGCATTTTATGGAATTCTAGACTTGACGACACTTATTTCTTCTCCTTCTAATCTCTTAATCCTAGTTAGACAATAATGGAAGTTAAGTTAGAGAATGAGAGAATCGGCAATATCTTAAGCTATTCTGAGTATTTCAACCGTGCGTCTCCCCGGGGATCTATTCTCAAATGGTAGAGTTACACAGTGGGTGATATTTTGACACAGAAAGCAGATCAATCACCTATCGAAAGACGCGATGGAAATATGCAACGTATTGCCTGTAAAGGCCCTCAGCGCGCCAGCAAACAAAGTAGTCCACGTTCTGGTCTGTTGGGAAACTGATGTATAGCACAAAAGAATTTCACCAGTTGTGCCGTACATGGTTTTGCATTTTTCCAGAGATACCTTGGGATAACTCAGTCTCGACCGAACATTTGTTTTGGCTCCTTCTCTAGCTCTGTGTGTGTGTGTGTGTGTTTTGGCCACCCGTCGCCCATGGTTGCTCTTGCCAATTTTTGATCTTCACCAGGTCGCCGTTTGATACCAAATCTTCGATTCTGAAGAGATAGACAGTGTCTGGGGAGCCCAAGATACTGAGAAATCCATTCTCCTCATCGGTCATAATCCATGACCCTAAGGTTCCATCAATATAGGATCCATCCGCGCTCACACGGTCACCTTTGACCGAAATAGCCACCTCGCCCTCATAGAGAGCAGGTTTGATTTGCCAAATCCACCGATTCTGCTCGTTGTCTTTAGCATCCAATGTGTTTACCCAACCATAGAGTAAAGACTTCATCGAGTAGATACACCGTTCCGTTTCAGGCCCACGAAACTCCCCATGGTACATCAGGAGAATACTGAGAAGTTTGTCAAGCCTTCCACCTTTGGTCACGACATCTCTGTCCGTCAGCGAAAGATTGGAGATGTTCGTGAGAATAGTCTGTTGTAAACCACTTGATCTTATGAAACCCTGTGGTAGCTGTGTTTGGCCTGCTTTCTGGGAAATTGAGTAGTCCAACCACCTGGTCATCGACTGGGAAATTGAGTGGTCCAACCACCTGTTCATCGACTGGGAAGTTGAGGAGTTCAACCACATGGCCATCGATTCGAGTAAGTCTTTTGAAGGATGGGTAGACACGGAGGAAGAAAAGTTTTGGATATACAATAGACTCTTTATGTCCACTAATTCAATCGGACTAGTTTCGAGTTTGTGAGAAGTTTGGTGAATACATCTGTAACGAGAACCACCTACGATCCCCCTTTATATACACATACTCTTCCATTCAAAAGTTCGCTTAAAGAACGGAGCCGTAATGATCCACGTAGGCTTCAAGCAGTCTGATTAAGTTGGTGGATTGAAACATCAGTAAATGACCTTTAGAATGGAAGCCTAAGCCATCCTGGCAGTGGCCACAGAATGAAACTTCCGTGCCCAGGAAAAGGGCCGCAAGTGAAGCGTCGCAAAACCGGTCAAGGCGAGATAGTTCTCTTCACAGAGGTCGGCTCTATAGGTAGCTGGAAGAAGGGCTTCCGACTGCCTTCCCATCTTATTCCTCCTTCGAAGCTAAACTCATTGCATTACTATATTTGATCATTCGCCCATCTTCAACACCCCAACACACATGGTTTGACCTCTCCGAGCGTCCCTTTAAGGCCCGCCCCCTAACTTCAAACACTTGCTCCTTTTCAAAAGCAAACCGTCATCGTCCGAACCCTTATACCCATCGCACTGTTTGACCTCGCCCTTAAAGTGAGCGATACGCTTAAGCTCAGTCGCGCCATAGCTCCGGCCCTGTCCCCTCGAAGCTATGTCGTTAGGAGATTCGCCGCTTTCCTAGTTAGATAGCTTGACTTTATTAGTAGACGTCGAGTCAGAGTCCGAGGGATTCACTTGTTCTTTGTTTGGAGTTGGAGCTGGATTCGATGAACCGTGAGGTAGGGGAGTCATGTTTAGATCAAAGGGATATCCGTCTAGAGAGTCGGTGGATGACATGATTGAAGATAACTCGGTGATTGAATGGATAGAGAAGTACGATGGACAAATGAGCTTAGGTCGAGGAAGAATTAGGAGGTGGTCCATAAGTACGGGACAGGAGAAGCACTGTGATGCTGCCACCCACATCCAGGCCCACATCTACCTCTCCCAATTGCGAATTCGGCAGGCGATCCACATTTACGCCATCCCCGGCTCCCCGCCCAGAGTTTGTAAATCTCGGGGCGACAGCAGGAGAACCTAATCATACTGACAAAGTAGCAAAGCAAAAAGTGCTTAACCGCACCTCCCTAGCGCTGGGGGTCCTTCTCAAGATGGAGTATATCTACCGTACCCCTCGGAGATTGAAATTGGTGAAGAGCCTCTAGTGGCTTTATTCAAGAAGTAGGCACAAATATGCTACGAGCTGAGCTAGATATCAATCGGCTTTTCAGAAGTAGGTTGTAGGCGGAAGCAGTGGGAAATATCCTTTCTTGCATCGCAAAAGCCTCATCTCGGATCTTGCTCTACACAGAAGCTCCAGAAGCTCCAGCACATGGGACACCGACTAGAGTAGCAGCATCGTCGCCGTCTTCATCAACTTTCGCCAGCTTCCTAGTTGATTGGAGCTGTTCACGGAAGTCTTCACCAAGCTGGCCTTCCTCCTCCTTGATTTTGGTCAACAAATCTTCGTCGTTAACGTCCACAACATCCCAAGGTTCCACTTTCCCGTGAATCCCAAACTTTTTTCTCATCACACCCCAGAAACCCACTGCAATCCGCTTCTTCATAGGGTACTGGTACCACAACAGCATATTGTTGCCTTCGATTTTCTTCCTGCTGTCCTCCTCCAGCGACCTTATTGCCAATGACGCGGACATGTCGTAGAAATACATGGTGGTAGGCTTACGGAGATGTTCGCGGCGCTCGGGAGACTCGGTCAATATTTCACTCATGGCGGCAAGGCCACTCCTATTTTCAGCAACCTTCACTAGATCATCTGGTCCCGCCCATGGGATGAACTTCTTGTAAACGTCAATAGTATCGTCACGGCCGAGGTCTTTGTCGCACTCAGTGAAGAAATTGGAACAAATCTGCTTTTCTCGCCGCCGATACCGCAACTGAATTTCGGGAGGGAAGTAATAGGTAAAATACTTTTCGTTGCGTACCAGAACAGTTGCCGTCTCGCCAATCTCGTTGCATATTTCGCCGGGATCATTACATATAATCTCGAGAAGCCGTCCGATCGGGAGACCGGCGTTCAGGGATGGGATGAGATTCTCTTCCCAGACGGAAAGGTTCTCCCCTTTTTGAAAAAGTTCGTGAATTTGTTCTGCTGAGAGGGGTCGAAAATCTGACACCGAGTCTTTCTTAGATTTACCCATAATGATAAGTGCCCAAACTCTTGGTGAAGTATTAAGATAACAATAATTACTTGCTGATTTTTCCCGCATGAACAACACTACTAACACTGACGAAAATGCAGAAGATTCAGTAGCATAAATAAAATACTTATATATCGTGATATAGACGCCAGATTTTGCCCAGAAAGTGAGGGGGTAAGCCGAATAGCCACTCCCTTGCCATTCAACCTATTATCTCAGACAGAGACAAGCCTCCTTATCGGAAACCTAGGTCGACTCATATGAGATCCGTCCCAGAGTGACGTGGCAGTCCTAATTGAAAAGAGCCCAACATGGGAGAGGTCTATCTATCTCAAAAGGGGGGGTTGCATGATGGAAAAGAGGAGGTTTATTGACAGCGTAATGTCCGGGCACCGAAAGATGCTCGTCGATTGGGTCTCGAACTTGAATATGGTGGTGGGTCGTTCATAGGTTGATTGTTGTCCGCAAGTATTGACCTAGAGGAAAGTGACGGCGGAGCGCTAAAGATAGACGGTTTATCATGGTCACAGGGTTCACGCTGAGGCTTAGGAGGGAGAGCATTAGATATCAAAGTGAAGGCCACAGAATCGTGGCAACAGAAGGCGCAGTGGTGGAGCTGTACGTCAGGAAGCGGACAGGGTCCTTATCCACAAGTTATCACTATAAAAGGCTGAACACGAGGGCGCCATACCGACCAGTTATAGTTTGGCAATCTGAGGTAAGTAGAGACGTGTTAAAACTAATAATCGCTGATCACCTTCCACCGGCCTTATCCGACGCACAGAACCTTGCCAAAGTTGACCAGTAGAGACAGAAAACCACGAATAACAGTTTGCCACTACTTGAAGCAAATATATCCCTCCTTGCCTCAACGCCCCATTATGCACTCTGTAACTAAGCGAATCAAGTGCCTAGAATTCCCAACACTCTTATGAATTTGCTTGGTAGGTCCCATGGGCAAGGTAACTCAGCGTCCCAAGACAGATGTCATTCGTCCATTTCAGTCGGCAGTGGTACACCTCAGGACCGACAGCAGAGGAACCTAGTCATACTGACCAAAGCAGCAAGAGAGATACCGCTTAATAGTACCCCTGTCCCAGTACCAGAGTGCCTCGTTAGGATGGTGCGTATCTGATGTGTCCCTTGGAGATTGAGATTGAGAAAGTGTCCCCAGCTCCCACGTAGCATCCTGTCCTAAGTGCAGGTTCCAATATTTTGGACAGGATTGGTCCCAGTAGCCTTTCCACCGTTGAAATTGTTCTTGAGATCCTTCGAACCCCAAGCGTAACGGTGTAAGAGAATTAAGCGTGTCCTCCAACCCAAAGTTCTGTGCAAACGAAGACACCGCTTCCTGGAAAATGCTGAACCCTCTCCGGCTGAGGTGGTTAGGTAAATGTGGAGCTATTTCTTTGGTAGCTATCCCAGCTCCAAATAAGTTGCGATGGACCAGAAAGATCGCGAGAAGCATCGCCAGCTGTTTGTGCCGGGAGGGCTCATCGTAAATTCCTGCCATAATATCAGAAACGAAATACTCAGCCTCCGGCATTTGAGCCCAGTCATTAAGAAAGGAAGAGAATCGTTTGAAGCGGTTGAAAGCAATGATGTGTAGAAACCTTTGGTCGTTGATAGGTTGGTCAAATAGAGCTGCCATCTCAGTGCTCCCACAGAAGACCTCAGGCAGTGTAGAGAGAGTGAAAGTGATCGGTATAGCCATGTCTTGCATTCGGTCACGAGGTAATAAGGCAAGAAGTTGACGCCGGAGTGCAAGGAGTAATTCCTGGTCTAAAGATAAGCCTAGTGAATCAAGAGTCCTCGATACATGCTGAAGGGGTGCGGATTCAAAGCCGTGAACCCGAAGCCTTTCCGATTGAAGGAGAGAGTGTTCTGCCGGTAAAGTTGGACTCAGAAAAGCTTGCAAATGTTCTTCGTCAAAGTCTGAAACGGTAGGCCGTGATGATTGGGAGATCTCAAGTAAGGTAGATAATACGACGTATCTTGAATTTTGGCGGGGAACCTCCGGGGAAATCATGCGGTGTAGACTTTCGTTGTTCCAATTGATCTCAGGGGTGAGAGTGAGGGCCAGGATGACTATCGATTGTTGAAAGGCGGTGCCGTGTCTGCCGTTGAACCCTTGCCTGAAGATTTCCCAACTGCTTAACTCTTCATCTGAGACGGCAATGTCCGGTAGCGTTGGCAAAAGGATAGATTCTCGAAACGGACTGTCAGGAGAAGTGGATGATAACTCGGTAGGAGAGGGAAGAGGCATTGGAGAGATGTAGAAAATGAAAACAAAGATTGGTGAGCTGGATGACCGGTGAAGAGAAGCGAACACGAATGAACAGCGGTGTAGAGTGTAGCAGGTCACCAATCGATATGCAGGATACAAATCCTTTTATGCTTGCGCCCAAATTGTATACACTGAAATTCCGCCGAAGGAAAACTATGGCCTTCCGGATATCCCTTCATAGCTTTGAGTGATAGATCATTGATGAACTGAAATTAGCGATAGGTAGGGAAGAGAAGCCCGGCCTCAATCGATGTCAACGGTGAATCAAGAGAGAGGGTGGGCGTTAGGGAGCCGGGGTTTGTATCAGGAGGGGGCGGAACGGTGCCTCCCGTCTTCCCTACACGGACATGTGAAAGCCAATCATGCTCTAGCCGTGGCACCTCCTCAACTCGGATAATTGGCCGTCGGATGTGACAACAGGGTGATTCCCCGGCCCTACGGACATGTGATTGTTAGTGCTTTTGTGGATAGCGACAAGCTAACCAAAACTTGGGGGTCAAAATGATCTGATCATTTTGACCCCCAAGTTTTGGTTAGCTTGATCGCCATTTATCCACCCCGACAATCACAGGTTATGGGCCCGGTCTTCCCAAAGAAAATTTGGAGGTCAAGTTATGGACGTCCGCAACTTATCATTCTATTAAGCTAACCAACCCCCCCTTTTCTTCGTGAAGACAGTACAATGACAATTGCAAATGTCCGCGATTTCATTGCACTCCTAAAGTTGTATGATCCCGAGACGTCACTGGAGACTGTTTTCAAGGACAAGCCGGTGAGTCTAACAGCATCAGTAACTTCTAAATCGCTAATTCCATTCAAGAATCTGCAACTCCTTTGTACCATTGTTGAAAAGATTGATCCAGATAAGCTCGCAAAGCAAGTTTCGACGACACAAGACTCGACGCCAGAAGACTCGACGCCAGAAGACTCGACGCCAGAAGACTCGACGCCAGAAGACTCGACG